TACGTGTAATAAATAAGGCTATATTTTTACGATAATTTAGGGAGTATCCTGCAGGTACTAGGGTAAATCCAAACACTGGTTCCGTGGTATTTCATGAGTATTTGAGAGATGGTGCTGATTTATTTTTTAGGTCGTCTTTTACGATACAAGCTATACAACTTTGGAACACCCTCCCAAACGATATTACGAATGCCACAAATAAAAAGTTTTCAAAGTTCTTCTCCAAGAACATTACCTGAAGGCAACTGCTAATTGACATTATTTTTCCTTAATTCTTGTCTTTCTTTTCTTCTTTGTGTTCTCTGTGCACTTATTTATTTATGATGGCCGCACCTGCCATCAATTGTCCTTGGCACCCAGGGTTGACTGGCAGAGAATGCTACATGGCATTAAGTCCGCCATATGTACCCTTTAGCTTAAGGTGTTACATGTAAGTTTTTAAATAAATAAATAAATAAATTTATTCTGTGCTTAAACCGTGAAAAATATTTATTCGCACGACCATATCTTGTCACATATATCGATGATTATAAACATGTTTACGTGGCATCCTCAGGGCGCGAGTTTTGTGATTCGTTATTATTGTTTTGCAAAGGAAACGGTCCAAAATTGTATTAAGCGTAGGCTTAGTTTTTTTAATAGTAAAGTAAAGTAGTAAAGTAAAGTTACAGCCTATATATGTCCCAATGCTGAGCACAGGCCTCCTCTCATGTCTGAGAGGGTATTAGGTCTAGGAAGTGTCCACCACGCTGCCCCAATGCGTGTTGGCGGACTTCACAAGTCTTCGAAATTTTTTTCTTATTTCTCAACATGCAGGTTTCCTCACGATGTTTTCCTTCACCGCTGAGCAAGTGTAAATTAGCACTTAAAATTGCAACATCATTGGTGCCAGCGCAACCCGGTCTGCTCGCGTACTATGCAATTTACATCGAGCGCTAACCATCTGAGCTACCACGGCTCATATCAATTTTAATAGTCAATTTTAATAGCTCAAATCAATTTTAATAGTAGGGATGTAAATTAAAATAAAATATTAAACAACTTTTGATATATTTAAATTCACTAACTTGCCTTTATTTCAGTGATATTAATATTTTATTCGCACCAAAAAATGCAACACTAATGGCAAAAAGATGTTGTTTTGACGGTAGCTGTCAACTGTCATGAGGTTACTGATTCATTTATTGTTGGCTATTTGAATTCCTGAATGTTGTGTTATCCTTATCACTAAACCAAAACCATATTGCCAAAGAAATCCACCAGAAACACAATAAACGCATTCACGAGTTCAAAACTACACGACAAAAGCTCGGAATAAATAAAAGTATTACGCTACCTTCAATATTTCATGACTCAAGTCACTTGTCAGAAATGACATTTGACAAATAACAGCATCTTTTTTATGAATGGAACGGCGCCATCTTGTGAAACCATCAAAACTTGGGATTGCATTTTTATTTTGAGCAAGTATTTTTTATTGCATTTTTCGCTTTTTATGATAAAGTACGGCATATGTACATGCCTGAAATAGTCCGTCTCCTTTAATAATTTTATTTTAACCTGAATTTTATTTTAAATTGACAGGACGAAATACATATTATTATCCCGTTGGTGTCGTAAAAGGCAACAAGGGAAAACTGAAATAGGAGACGGCAGTAGGATCTTTCTGATATTAACACAATAAGAAACTGCGTTAAACCCCTATGAGACAATTCATGGATGAGGCCTATATTCAGGTGTGGAATTTGATGGTCGTTAATATTTGAATGAATGAGACAAGCATCTTATAAAAAAATTTCAATTCTACTTCTAAAGTCTATGTGTATCGGAAAAATTGATTGTCAATCGCCATAATATTAGTTAATTTTAAAGCCAAATTTTCGTTTGAAATACAAATGAAAATTCACAATCGTTTTGCGCACTGCACAATTTATTGTCTATATCCTGCAAAGTATCAATACAAAACCAATTGCAAAACCAGTTCACAATCCCAATCAGTAATGAGAAATTCCCACAACGAAGGCTATAATCCTTCAGCTTTCGTAACTCTCATGCAGTGAAATTGAACATATTTATATGCAGTCTCAACGAAATCCAGATTGGTTGAAACTCTTGACAAAGTTTGGCCTATTTTATATTTCTCATCAAATATTACAAGTATTCTATACTCTTTTTTAAAATATGTGACATCATTTGTTAGGTGGTAAGATTTCTTTAGCGCCTAGTCCGTCAGTTCAATGTAGTCTCTGAATGTTTCGATCTTAATTGTATAGAGAGTAATTACAAGCTGCGAGACATTCTATCTTGGTCTTTGGAGATGACAACGCATCTGTAGCCTTATTTTTTTCTTGCACACGTCAATGGGCTGAAGTAGCCAATTACCGTTAAAACTCATTTGTCATTTCAATTTTATAAAATAAGTTTTTGTGAGTAGTTTTAACTAGTAGTTACGACCTTTGAATGCACCATAAGGCAAGCAAAGATTAGGATTATGCAGACAGTGAATATAAGAAAAAAATAATTTAAATTTAGACATAAGGGATACCGTTAATCTATTTCGTTCGTATCATAAGAGCAGGTGTTACTAGAGAATGAAATTGGAGATTTGGTTCCAGGTATTTTTTTATAGAATAATGGTGACAGTCGAACACACAGTTCAACTGTGGTAAATGAGTGCTGTCGCCCACTACATCCTCATTTAACAATCAAAATGCAGATACTTTGTCACCCCTGAGGACTGAGATGGAATACCTCGTTTCTAGTAAAATGATCTCCGGTTTTCTACACTCACCATACGAAACACAGCAACGCTAAGCTGCTACTTTGCGCTGAAATTCTGTGAGAGCGTGGTCTTACCTAGGTTTAGCCGATCCATTTGTGCTATAACCATAATATAGCTGCAGCGTGGTTGTACCAAGTTAAAATCTCCACCACCTCTCAACCTAACAGTAAATGGATGCAGTGACCCATAAACACTAAATATATCAACGAATAAGTATAAAAATGTAGATACTTCTACACTCACATTTTTAGGTTATTATGTTGTTTCACGCTGGTATCCCCAAAAATCATGATCGTACTCTATTTGAACCAAACCATTGTACACATATATTGTATATATTAGAGATGGGTCGAACATGAATTTCATCGAATATGAATATTCGGCGGAAAGTTCAGTAAAACATTTATCGCACCGAATATTCGGCCGAACATCATTCGGCAGGATCACCTCGGTGCCTAACCGATTTTTGTCGAAACTTGTTACCGTAAAGCGCGCGGGATTTGCGCCGGATCCCACCCTCGCAACCCCCGCCACACCTGACATGTTATTGCAGTATCTAGTACTGAGCAAATTGCCGGCACATGATTATGTTTTGACTATTTTGTGAAAAAAATTCTCTGTTATTCTTAGTGATTTTTTTAGAAATAAATATTTCTTTCTTTATTTTATTGATAAATATATCATAAAAATAGTGGTAGGAAATCTACTATTCGGACTTATTTTAGAGAAACTGACCACCAAAGTAAAGTTAAATATATTAATGTAATGTTTGTTTGTTTCATTCCAATAATATTTTATCAATTTTCTATTTGCTATAACTTGAAATAAAATTGCAGTGCCTCAAAAACATAACGCTTTAAAAGTAGATTTAACCCATTAATAAAATATACTTTCAACGGTAAAGTTGAAAATGAAAGACAAATCAAAACTCAATTCATAGATTTAAAATTTTCAATACAGTGGACACTTTAACGAATGTTCGGTGATTTAGCCAAATATTCGGCCGAATAAGAACATTCGGTAAAGCTGCCGAATACCAAATTTGAAACGAATATTCGGTCCATCTCTATTGTATATTATGGCTGCCGCATTGTTAAAAAAGTCCGCTCTTTATCTGGCATTCCGGGATTATAACCCAATAGTTTTTAATTAAGTTTTATAAACCTGTTCAAATTGTATACCTCATATAAAACGAAAATCGACTCTGCGTTAGTCGATATACGTTTTTCTTCGTAACTGTAAAACGGGTTTTGTTTCGTGTTTCACCATTGGGTACGTGTAGTTCATTCGAGAGGTTATAAAAGGTCTAATAAGTGGAAAAAACTGAAGTAGGATAAAATATATGCTTTTGTTATAAATTTATTGTTAACCATTCATTTAGTTGTTGTAATAAAGATATCAATACCTGCCAAAACTCATAGAGTTAAAGTTACTTTTTTTTTGTAAGTCTCACGGGATTTAAACCAAAAAGTTAATAACTTAGGATTACATTTTTTTATAATGTTATATTATATTGTTACATTGTTACACTAAGATTTTATCTGTATCCTAGTACCGTTTTACGTATCTACTAACTCTGCTGTCACTGAATAACAGCGTATCGAGTAACAGGTATCGCGTCTTTAAGGCTTCTTCCCGTCATCAGTCTAGTTATTCACAATAGGTACATACTTCTCCCTCCCTTGACGGCCTCGTTAGTCTAGAGATCGTAAACGCGGTTGCGATCATGAGTTCCCGCGTTCGAACCCCGGGTCGGGTTGAAATCAGTTATAGAAATATTTTGTTCAGATATTTTCAGTAGTAGTCCGAAGTCAGCAAGTTGACAGTGTTTCAGGAAAGCAAGGAGAGTCGTAGATTCTGTGCCTAAGTTCTCTCCAGCCATGTCAGATTATCGTCCCATCCAACTATGAGACTGTGGGAACAGAGAGTGCTCCTGTGCTTGCGCATTCATCTGAACACTATAATCCTATCCCGCCCAGGTGGGGAGTATTCGTTAAGAGTGGCCGCCATTTACTCAGTTTGGTTTGGAGAACATTATTATGATTATACTTATCTTTTAGTAATTATAGCCCACTGCTGGGCGTGGGTCTGCCCATTGTAGAGAGGATTATGCCTTAATTGACACACTTGGCAGGTAGTTTAACGATCATGGTATCAGATACCTGGTACTACAGCGTCTGTTGTGGTACTGTATGGTATAACATAAGATCTTTCTGGCATGCAGCCCATAGATTCTAATACGTGCAGCGATCAAACAGTCAGTGGTTGTTCCGATAATATCCGATGCGGTGCCACATGTGAAACTAAGACGGAATGCCTCGTTTCCAGTAAATAGGGCCTCCGGCTTACTACACTCATCATACGATACTCAGCAGTTTTAAGCTGAACGTGGTCCTTCCCAGGTTGAGCCGAATTATTCTTGTTACAACCATAATATAGCTGCAGTTTACCACGTATAAAATGTTGGTTAGAATTATTGCGATATGGGGTTGAGTTACTCTGGATATAATGCATACAATATTAATGATTACGTATATTAAATATCTTGGAAATAAAACTATATTAAAATAGAACAAGTAACTCATTTATTCCAAAGAATTACGGAGTCATCTGAAAAATAGCAAAATACTCGTTTTAATTTTGTAAGAAAATAAGATAAAATAAGAAGAAAAACTATTACACATGGGAACGTCTTGTAAGTTGTTAACTTTGTTTTCGTTAGTTAGGTTTTCTGCTATAAGAACTAGATACCAAGTAAGTTACTTTTATCTGTTTCTTTCATTGTTAAATTGAACAGTAATAATTCACATTAAGACATCGCCGACTCCAAAACCTAAAAAGAAGAAAACAATTCCACATAATAAAATCTATAGAAAACGGTGCTATCGTATGGAAGAAATGAAACCCCGACTTCAGAAGCTATTAAAATTTTTACTTTTATATTTATTTTTTTATAGGTCAGGGTGACAAACGAGCACACAGTCCACCTGGTGGTAAGTGGTTGCTGTGGCCCATAGACATCTACATCTATCCTCGATCACGAATCAAAGTGCAGATTCGTTGTCACCCGTGAGGACTAAGATCGAATGCCTCATTTCCAGTAAAAAGGGTCTCCGGTTCTCTACACTCACCATACGAAACACAGCAGCATTAAGCCACTATTTCACGCTGGTATTCTGTGAGAGCTTGGTCCTTCCCCGGTCGAGCCGACCCATTCATGCTACAACTATACTACTAATATAACTGCAGCATGGCTCTACCACGTGTAAAAATTGCAACCTGACTGAAAATTAAATGAAAAATTCGAACTATTTTATTTAAAGAACTGTAATATTTAACTTGCTTGTGTCGTATTTTATTCTATTAATGTCTTATATCGTATGCCAGCCCTGAATAATTGAAATAAATGTTTTGATTACCTATAAGTTTATTTCATCAACTGGGTTGATCTATATTTTTTGTAAATGCAATGAAATTCTAGAATAAAAAATGAATATTGTATTTATTCTTAAACGTAATCGCCTTTTAAGCTAATACACCTTGAATAGCGTTTTACATGTTGGTTAATTCCTTTAGAGAAATTGCTTGATCTTGGGATTTGAAAAGGGCCTACAGCACATATCACCTCTTCGTCGAATTCTTTTTACGCACGTGCTTTTTCAGTAGAAAATTAATCGCAGCTGGGTACGGAAAACATGGTGGGTACAGAATCAATTGAAACCCAGCAGTTGGGATAACAGCGCCTGCAATATCAGATCAATAGGCGGGGCATTATTATGATGAAAAGTCACTAAAATGCAATTTTCCTTGATGTTTAGTTATTTAGTGCTTCGCGTAGTTTTCCGATTAATGATGCGTAATAACCTCTGGTTAATGTCTCACCTTTACTTGAATAGTCGATCATTATTATATCTTCCGCATCCCAGAAACAGAGGCCATAATTTTCCAGCGGACGCAGACACCTTGAATCTCTTGGCTAGCTTAATTGGTTTGCTGAGACAATGTTTAATCAAAGTATGATACACTAAACTTTGATCAATACTTATAGAGACAGAAGTGAAAATGAAAATTTAAATTCTTTGGTCAAAAAAATAAAAAAAGTTACATTTTCATATAATTCATTAAGTACGAGGAAGTTGGCAGTGCGAGTTTTTTTATATATTATGTTACGCGATATCATAATGGATACTTTTTACCCGACGATTAAAAAATCGGTCCTATCTAGATCAGACCCTAAAATAATAAAACAATAACAATAACTGAGGGAAGAAGAAAGACTGTGATGGGACGAAATAAAAAAACGAATAAGAGTTACAAGTGAGCACACAGTCCATCTGATGGTAAATATCTACATCTATCCTCGATTAACTTCGATCAATATAATTGATCAATATAATTGATCGAAGTCGATTAAGCATCAAATTGCAAATGCAGAGTGTCCTCCTAAGGACTAAGATGGAATACCCCGCATCCAGTTAAAGGATTTTCGGTTCTCTATACTCACTTTATGAAGAACTGCAGCATGAAACAAATGAACTGATATAGATTAAATTTTTTTTTGTTTAAAATGTGATTTGATCGAGATTGTTCTTCGCTATGATTCAAGAAAATCTTTTTAGCCGTTTATAGATCACCAACTCCACCAAGAGGTAAAATGAGGGTCAATTGGAATGGGATAGAATCATTTTTATTCAATATAGATTACAAAAATTTTTATTGAATGTTATTTAGGCCTTACCACTAGATCGGAAAAAATACTTCTGTCCAGGGAATGATCAGTAAGAAACCCAGCGGCACCTTTTATAATAAAATAATTTACGATATAACATTTTATGCAAATAATTATGAAAACATTCAAATAAAGCATGGTATTGAGCACCTCATTATATTTATTGTATATATTATATTATATTGATAAAATAAATATGATTCCTGTATTTATTTTTAAAATATCTTAATAGTAAAATAAGGTTTAGAAATGAATAATCTAAAACCGTTTTAAAATCATATAATTTTCCATACATACCGAAGTGCGTTTCCTGTAAAACACTATAGCAACTAGCACATATTGTCTTCTGGGAATCGTCAGAGGCGACAGAGGCACACTAAAACGTAAAGTGGGCAGCAGCAGCTCACCGATAACGACTCAAAATAATGGCTGGATCGATTTTGACGGGAATTTCACTGACAGATAGCTGATGTTATAAGGACTAACTGAGTCTACTTTCATTGTAGTAAAAAATTAGCATTCGCGCAAAAAAAAATTCATAAAATCCAATGGCAATAAATTCATCAGTTTAGGCGCTAGTAGAACATACCTACGTGCTTTGCGCTTTACGCATGTAATACTATACACTTTTACTTCAGGACTACTTTATACTAGTCTTGTATAAATTCGGTGATAAAATTCTACGCCTAATTGTGGCTAAATAGGGGATGAACTTTTAATGTAAATATTTAGACGACATTGAGAAAGGGGTAAAAAAATTACTTTTAAAGAAAATAAAATCTGACTTCACATAACCAAAACTAACTTAATAATTTCGTATTGAGAAGTCGAGGCTTTAATTATTCTGTATACGATATATCACCACCGACCACTACTAAATGGCACCGACTTCAGACTGTGAAATAATTTCAATCGTTTTAGTCTTTTAAAGTCGGTTTTAATTTTTATAGTAATTTTTTATACTCCCTTGTTAATGATAATGAAACATTCTCTACATAGGCTGCACTAAAAGTATCGAGAATGGAAAATTTCCACTGTTCCTGTCATATTAAAATCTTTTTAATCTGAAAACTCTTTGTTTTTAAAAATCGAATACCATTTATTTATTTAAAAAAAGATTCTCTACCTTGTCACAAGGTTTTGTCAAACTTGTTTAGTCGTTGGGAAAATGGAATTGACTCGAGAAAATTCAAGAGCGATGATTTATTATTACTTTCGAAGTGGTTTAACACAAAAACAGTGTGTTGACCGGATGATTTCTGCATTTGGTGATGAAGCCCCATCCAAAACCACAATTCATCGCTGGTTTGCTGAATTTCAACGCGGACGTGTCAAGCTCAGTGATGATGCCCGTCAAGGTCGTCCAAAAACTGCAGTCACCCAAGAAAACGTTGATGCTTTGCGTAAGCTGATTGAGGAAGATCGACATGTGACATACCGCGAAATTCAGGGAACTTCAGACATTGAAATGAGTCAAATACAAATAATCTCGCATGAACAATTAGGTGTAAAAAAGTTGTTTTCCCGATGGATACCGCATTCGCTCTGTGAAGAGCAAAAAGCGGCTCGCGTTACTTGGTGCGTCAAAACTCTCGAAAGATTCCACGCAGGATCCTCAAATACTGTATACAACATCGTATCAGGTGACGAATCCTGGATATATGCGTACAAACCCGAAACAAAAAACCAGTCACGAGTTTGGGTGTTCGAAAATGAGTTAAAGCCAACAAAAGTTGTTCCTTCACGTAGTGTTGCAAAAAAATGGTGGCCACGTTTGTCTCCAAAACCGGCCATGTTACGACTATTCCTCTTGATGGACAAAGAACGGTTAATGCAGAATGGTATGCTAGAATTTGTTTGCCACAGGTCGTTTCTGAACTCCGTAAAGAGAACTGCAACCGCCGCATCAACCTCCATCACGACAAATGTTGACCATGAAAATTACGATGACCGTAAATATCACGATGACTATGAGGATAACGATGACGATGACGATGACGATGACGATGACGATGACGATGACGATGACGATGACGATGAAGATATGATGATGATGACGATGATGATGACGATGAAGATAATGATGATGATGACGATGATGACAACGATGAGGATGATGACGAGGATGACCATGACGATGACGATGACGATGATGATGACGATGAAGATAATGATGATGATGACGATGATGATGACGATGACGATGACGATGACAATGATGATGACTATGACGACGAGGAAGACGATGACGACGATGACGACGAGGATAACGATGACGATGTCGATGACGATGACGATGACGATGACGATGACGTTGACGATAACGATGACGATGATGATGACGATGACGATGACGATGACGACCACGTTGACGATGACGATGACGATGATGATGACGATGAAGATAATGATGATGATGACGATGATGATGATGATGACGATGACGATGACAATGATGATGACGATGACAATGATGATTATGATGATGATGACTATGATGATGACGATAACAACGAGGACGACGATGACGACGAGGATGACGATGACGATGATAATGACGGTGACGATGATAGTGAACATGACAATTACGATGACCATAATACGCGATGACTATGAGGATGACGATAATGATGATGATGACAATGACGATGACGATAACGACGATGATGATGACGAAGATGATGACGATGACGATGATGATGACGATGACGATGATGATGATGATGATGACGATGATGGTGACTATGACGATGATGATGACGATGACGATGACGATGATGACGATGACGATGACGATGACGATGGCGATGACGATGACGATGACGATGGCGATGACGATAATTATGACGGTGACGACGACGATGACAATGAGGATGACGATGACGATGATAATGACGGTGACGATGATGGTTAACAATGACAAATACGATGACCATAAATATCACGATGATTATGAGGATGACGATAATGATGATTATGACGATGATTATGACTATGACGATGCTAATTAGGATGACGATTATGATGACGATGACGATGATGACGATGATGATAACGATGATGATGACGATGATGATGACGATGATGATGACGATGACGATGATGATTATGAGGATGACGATGATGATGAGGATGACAATGATGATGACGATGACGATGACGATGATGACGATGATGATGACGATGACGATGGTGATGAGGATGACCATGACGATAGCGATGACGATAATGATGAAGATGACGATGATGATGACGAAGACGATGAGAATGATGATGATGATGACGACGAAGAGGACGATGACGATGACGATGATAATGTCGATGACGATCACGATGACAATGATGATGACGATGACGACGATGATGACGATGACGATGATGATGATAATGACAGTGACGATAATGGTGACCATTACGACAATTACGATGACCATAAATATCACGATGACTATGAAAATGACGATGACGATGTCAATTACGACTATGACGTTGACGATAATGATGATGATGACGATGATGATGACAATGACGATGACGATGACGACGATGATGATGACGATGAGGATGACCATGACGATGACGATGACGATGATGATGACGACGAAGATAATGATGAGGATGACGATGATAATGAGGATGACGATGATGATGATGATGACGATGACGATGATGATTATGAGGATGACGATGATGATGACGATAACGATAACGATGACGATGATGACAACGATGACGATGATGACAACGATGACGATGATGACAACGATGACGATGATGACGAGGATGACGATGATGATGATGATGAGGATGACGATGACGATAATGATGAGGATGACAATGACGATGGCGATGACGATAGTAATGACGGTGACGATAATGAAGAGGATGACGATGATGATGACGAATATGATGATGACGACGATGAAGATTACGATGACGATGATGACAACGATGACGATGATGACGAGGATGACCATGACGATGACGACGATGATGATGACGACGATGACGACGATGATGATGAGTATGACAACGATGATGACGATGACGATGATGATGATGACGATGATGATGATGACAATGACGATGACGATGACGACGATGATGATAACGACGATGATTACGATGACGATGGTGATGAGGATGACGATGACGATGACAATGACGGTGATAATGATGACGATGATGACGATGACGATAATGATGATGATGACGATGATGATGACGATGACGATGACGATGACAAAAATTATGACGATGACGACGAGGGCGACGATAACAACGAGGATGACGATGACGATGACGATGACGATGACGATGACGATGACGATGACGATGACGATGACGATGACGATGACGATGACGATGACGATGACGATGACAATGACGATGATGATGACGATGAAATAATGATGGTGATGACGATGATGATGAGGATGACAATGACGATGGCGATGACGATAATGATGAGGATGACGATTATGATGACGAATATGATGATGACGACGATGACGATGACGATGACGATGATGACAACGATGACGATGATGACGAGGATGGCCATGACGATGACGATGATGATGACGATGAAGATAATAATGATGATGACGATGATGATGACGATTTCGATGGCGATGACAATGATGATGACGATGACGATGATGACAACGATGACGATGATGACGAGGATGACCATGACGATGACGATGACGATGATTATGACGATAAAATAATGATGATGATGACGATGATGATGACAATAAAATAATGATGATGATGACGATAAAATAATGATGATGAAGACGATGGTGATGACGGTGACGATGACGATGACAAAAATTATGGCGATGACGACGAGGGCGACGATAACGACGAGGATGACGATGACGATGATGAGGAGGATGACGATGATGATGCGGATGACGATGCTGATAACGATGACGATGACTATGATGACGATGATGATGACGATGATAATGACGATGACGATGATGACGATGACGTTGACGATGATAATGTCGATGACGATGATGATGTGGATGACCATGACGATAGCGATGACGATAATGATGAGGATGACGATAATGGTGACCATGACAATTACGATGACCGTAAATATCACGATGACTATGACGATGAAGATAATGATGACGATGACGATGATGATGACAATGACGATGACGACGATGATGACGATGATGATCAGTATGACGACGATGATGACGATGACGATGATGATGATGACTATGATGATGACAATGACGATGACGATGACGACGACGATGATTATGATGACGATGGTGATGAGGATGACGATGACGATGACGATAACGGTGAAAATGATGATGAAGATGACGATGACGATGATAATGACGGTGACGATGGTAGTGACCATGACCGTAATTATCACGATGACTATGACGATGACTATGATGATGACGATGACGATGACGATGATGATGACGATGAAGATAATGATGATGATGACGATTATGATGACGATGATGATAACGATGAAGATAATGATGACGATGACGATGATGATGACGATGACGATGATGATGATGATGTCATGATGATGCGGATGACGATGATGATAACGATGACGATGACGATGATGACGATGATGATGACGATGATAATGACGATGACGAGGATGACGATGACGTTGACGATGATAATGTCGATGACGATGATGATGTGGATGACCATGACGATAGCGATGACGATAATGATGAGGATGACGATAATGGTGACCATGACAATTACGATGACCGTAAATATCACGATGACTATGAGGATGACGATAATGATGACGATGACGATGATGATGACAATGACGATGACGACGATGATGATGACGACGATGATGACGATGATGATCAGTATGACGACGATGATGACGATGACGATGATTTTGATGACTATGATGATGACGATGACGATGACGATGACGACGATGATGATTACGATGACGATGGTGATGAGGATGACGATGACGATGACGATGAAAATGATGATGAAGATGACGATGACGATGATAATGACGGTGACGATGGTAGTGACCATGACCGTAATTATCACGATGACTATGACGATGACTATGATGATGACGATGACGATGACGATGATGATGACGATGAAGATAATGATGATGATGACGATTATGATGACGATGATGATAACGATGAAGATAATGATGATGATGACGATGATGATGACGATGACGATGATGAGGAGGATGACGATGATGATGATGATGACGATGATGATGACGATGAAGATGACGATGATGACGATGATTATGACGACGATGATTACGATGATGATGAGGATGACGATGATGATGACGATGACGATGACGATAATGATGATGATGACGATGACAATGACTATGACGATGACGACGATGATGATGTCGACGATGATGACGATGATGATGATGATGAGGATGACGATGACGATAATGATGAGGATGACAATGACGATGGCGATGACGATAATAATGACGGTGACGATAATGAAGAGGATGACGATGATGATGACGAAAATCGATAGGGGTCATGTGGGTGTGTTGTGAGGAGGCGCCATCCGTATGATAGTTGCATTGATGCTTACTGCTACTTGTGGAATTGCGCCTTGTGATGGATCTGCGGGTGTGCTGCGCCTGATTCGATGAATTCTTGTGGTTCTGGTCGATGGAGGTAAACAAATAACATCTTAGTGCCGGTGGTAAGCGGGTTGTTGTAGCAATACGGCTTTCCCGTGGACATCGCGCACCCATACCGTTTGTGGGCGACGTCGTACCGCATAGCGATGCGTCGTCTATATTTCGGATTGGGATGATGAGTGTGTTTGGTAGCACTTTTAAGTGTAACAGACATACTCAACTTCATGTCTTAGTGCATTAGCGTTATGATACACGGAGTTTTGTTCACTAGCGTCTTAGTAGCGTGCTACTATGATACGTTGGTGATATTTTTTATATAACAACAATACAAACTTTGTTACCAAAATCGATAGGGATCATGTGGGTGTGTTGTGAGGGGGCGCCATCCGTATGATAGTTTCATTGATGCTTACTGCTCCTTGCGGTATTGCGTCTTGTAATGGATCTGCGGGTGTGCTGCGCCTGATTCGAGGCACTCTTGTGGTTCTGGTCGATGGAGGTATGCGGGTGGTTATGTCTGCTGGGATGTATGGGGGACCTTGGAATGGTGTAAGCCCGACGATAGTCGTATTGATGCTTGTTGCGTTCTGCAGCATTGCTTCTCTGCGAAGGTTGTTTGGTGGGACGCTATTCTCAATGGCGCTCTCTGCGTCTTGGATTGACTCACGCCTGAGTAGCTTTGCCCAAGTCGGGTCCCTTCATTACGGGGCTGCAGACTGTCTGCCCTCCACGATGTTTTATATAACAACATAATATTATATCTCTGTAACTTTCCCACCTTTGAATGATTGAAGGCAACTTGTCGGTGGGTGAGACAAACATGATCGAAAATGCATTTACTCAACGTCAGTGACACAAACCCTTTCTGATGGCGAATTATTACTCTTATCTTATAACTGCCTTTTGGCTATATCTGCCGTTGTATTGGTTGGTGGAGCATATGTGTCGATCTCATGCGTCAATTGCACATTTTTAGTGACGCGAGTGAAAGCGCATACGCATCCGCAGCTTATTGGCGTATCCGTTATCGCAACGGTACGATACGAGTCACGTTAGTAGCGGCCAAAGCGAAAGTCGCTCCGATTAAAAGTCAAAGTATACCGCGACTCGAATTACAGGCGAATTTAATAGGTGTACGACTTGCCGAATTCGTACAAAGCAAGCATAGGATGAGAGCAGATAGGGTAGTGTTCTGAACAGACTCTACAACGGCGCTCCATTGGATTAGAAATGATACGGCGCATTACGCTCCATATGTCGCACATAGGCTCGGGGAGATAGGAGAAAAGTCATCACCCGACCAATGGAAGTGGGTTCCAACGGCTCACAACGTAGGAGATGAAGCGACGCGAGCGATTTACGTGGCAAAGAGCGCAAACGATAAGTGGTTTACCGAACCGGACTTCTTATACAAAGACGAAGGAGAATGGCCACAGCAACCGGAAGAAAGGGCAGGCGAAGAATACGAGAAAATCGTGGCGCACCAGCGATAAATAAAGGGAGCACCACACCTGCCAGACATAACGAGATTCTCTACATATGAGAGACTCATCAGAGCTACGGCACGAGTCACACAATTCGTCGACATGCTTCGAGGACGAACTAAAGAATTGAAACTAGATCACATTGAAAAGGCAGAGCAGCTATGGGTAGCGCAGAGTCAACAGGAGAGTTTCGCTGACGATATCGCTCGGTTCTACCAAGGAAGGGACTTACACAACGGCAGCGCATTGAAAAAGCTCAACCTAGTAATCGAACAATTATTATTATAAGAGCAAGAGGCAGACTCGATGCAGCCGCTGTGGAAAGTCAAACAAAACGACCAGTCATAATAAACGGCAGACACCGGTTCGTACAGATGCTCGTAGAGAAGGCACACCAGGATGCTAGCTACGCCTACAGAGAGCGAGTAGTTAATGACTTGCGAAGGAAGTACCACATTATTCGACTGCGACCAACGTTTAGGGAAATCGAGAAGAGGTGTATGCGATGTCGCGTTAGGAAAGCTGCACCAAGACCGGCGGTAACAGGAGACTTGCCTCCCGAGAGGTTAAGAGCGTCAAACGACCATTCACGTATACCGGGTTAGATTATTTCGGGCCGTTAACTGTGACTATAGGGCGACGGCATGAGAAGAGATGAGTTGCGTTATTCACTTGTCTTAGAACGCGCGCGGTACACGTCGAATTGGTATATAGCTTAACCACGGACTCGGCGATAATGGCACTTAGGCGTATGGCGGCAAGGCGCGGGTGGCCTAGGGTTATCTACTCAGACAACGGCACCAATTTCCACGGAGCACACACCGAATTACGACGGGCCATGGAAGAGTGGGCACCGCAGCTGAAGGACTTCGCGCTTACTCTTTGAACGGAGTGGAAGTTCATCGCACCGGGTGCACCCAACCAGGGAGGCGCATGGGAACGATTGGTGCGTTCCATCAAAGCAGCGCTTGAGATTACTCTTTATCAAAAAGCCCCAAGGAGGAAACATTAGTAACGTTATTGGCAGAGGCTGAGAACACCGTAAACTCCAGACCTCTCAATCACGTGCCAATCGGGATCGACGACGAGGAAGCCCTGACTCCCAACCACTTTCTTCTGTTGGGACCATCCAGCATGCCAATCACCGCGACGTGTTCATCAGCGGATCGACGAACCTGGAGGGCTGCACAAGGACTGGCCGACGAATATTGACGACGCTGGGTTCTTGAGTACCTACCGACCCTGGTGCTCAGAGGAGAATCGAGAAACGCCCAGCAGCCCAAAATCAAAGAATATGACCTGGTTATCATAGCAGACGGCAACCTCCCGAGGAACGTATGGCCAAGAGGAGTCGTCACGAGGTCCTTCCCCGGACCAGATGGAGTGGTTCGGAACGTAGCAGTTAGGACAAGAGGCGGTTTGCTGAGGAGGCCGGTCAGGAAGATCGCCGTCCTCCCGAGAGAAGACGGCTCGTAAACTACGCCGGGGGGAGGATGTTGCGGACGGCGAGTGAAACCACCATCGCCCCGCACCGCACCCACGTTGACAAGTCCCGCGCGCCACGCATCGGAACAAGGGCCCCGCGCGGACGACACTCCCACTAACTCGGTGCTTACGGCGCACCGTACTACGAAATAAAAGAAGCGTTTCTGGCGCCGATTCTTCATTCGAGCGGCGGAAATTCGAGCGGCGGCAACTCAAGCAACAGCAAGCAACCCGAACAGAGGAACCAACAAGAATCCCTATTAGTATTAACTACAGCAATTGTAAATAGTGTAAATATAGTGTGTCATTTCGTCAAGTAATTTAATTTCTTCTCACCCCCTTTTATAGTCAGACAGATGTCACAGTTTTAAAAGTTAAATTCAGTTGCAAAGTAAAATAGTAGCTCCTAGCGTATTAAATACACAACAAAATAAATTAAATACAGTCCACTTGCTTTCATCCCCTACAATCATATTAATTTTAAATGAATAATCCGCCATATACAACAACATACCAATGATAATTACAATACGTTGGTAATCTAAGAGAGTGTTTCCGCGGTCGGACTGATCTATTCATGCTACAACTGTAATGCAACTGAACGTGGTTCTACCACGTACAATTCAAACATACATATTTATATACCTATAGAATATATATTGATAAAAAATTGCTCATCATATTGATATCGTACGCTGTGAAAATATATGTTTTCAAAATGACGTTTCAACTATACTCACAACACGTATTATGAATTCTAAGGCACACTAGCTCTTGTAGTTGCCAACATAAAACCAATATGTTAGGAGAAAGCTTGAAAAATATTTCTATTTGAAAACTTTTCTGCGTTGAACTTATTTTATTTTGATTTATGAATGTACTGTATAATTTTATATTCATTCTCAGATGAATCAAAGCGTGATTCGCGACAGTTCTAAAGCTAAGCCTAATCCGGGCTCGATCCTTGCTAACACCAATAGCATTGTTTATTATATTTTAATTAATTATTTGCGACGTGCTCGGCGGTGGAAAAAAACCTCATGTGATACCCGATTATATCAGACTTGCTTTTTATAGAATAGTGGTGACAAACGAGCACACAGTCCAACTGATTGTAAGTGAAAGCAGTGGATAGATGGAATGCCTTTTCTCCGGCCGCATCATAATACTTGAACGGAGTGGGCTCCTTCCCGATCGAACCAACCCATTCATGGTACAACGATAATATTACAGCTGCAGCGTGCCACATCCTTGTGTAAAACGTTCACATACCACATTGTTGCAAGTCTGAAGATAAAATATTTGTTCTTAGAAATGAGAGCAGGCCTGCCCAGCAGTGAGACTTTAGAGTATTCATAAGAAAGCTATATTAATACGTGGTAAATCCACCACACTCCTCCACTCATCAAACACAGTCATTATGGTTGTAGCATAAAAGGGTCGGCTCGACCGATGAAGGACCACCCTATCACAGAATACCAACGTAAAATAGCAGCTTAATAATGCTGTGTTTCGTATGGTGAGTGTAGGAAACCAGCGACCCGTTTTACTGGAATCGAGGCATTCCATCGTAGACTTCAAGGGTGACAACGCATTCTGCAACTGCATTACCATTTACCATCAGGAGGACTAAGTACTCGTTTGTCACTCTTATCATATAAAAAAAACTCTAAGTGTGGGACGTGTAGAGGCTATAACTTGTGTTCTTTTTTACTACGATTTAATTTCTTGCGTTTTTGACTGTCTGTTCAGTACAAAGCTTTTATTCGACTTTAACCTAATATATATAATTAATATTTGCATAAAAATCAGTTCTAGGTGATAGTGGACTTCAGGACTATCGAGTGGAAATTATTCATTTATTTTTACTGCTTTGAAGTCAGGGTTTCTTTTGAATGGACTCAAAAACATCACAAGCT